CTTGAACTTTGAACAGTGAGATCCGAAGAGAATTCCTGCCCCTTGGCCATTAGAAACAATTTCTAAATCAGATGTAGACTTATTACATAATTTGTATTTCATGTTTTTCTTTTCCTTCTCGTAATATAGTTGTCAATTGAACACAATTAAGTTTCAAATTAATATTATTTTTCATATGCAATTTATGCCAATTGAGCAAGATAGCGTGCATGCGCCTTTTAACTAGGGTTCTCATTATTTCTTTGTAAAGTAACAGTATTAATTTGTCAAAAGAATAATGTTTTTGTAATATCTCTTAAACTGATGTCATACTTTTTTCTTGAGTACCTACTGCCATTCTTGTCGACATATATAATGGTTTTCGCTCAATCAATTTAAGTCGATGAATTTAAAGATTTAAAAATGTTTTTGCAAATAATAATTGTTGATATTCAATAAAATCGTCCAAATAACTAGTTTAATATTCTAGTGAATAAAATGTTTGTGTTTTTTATCTATGCGTTTCGGATTTAAAAATTTTCTTCTCTTTAATTATTGTAATAGTTCGAATTCTCCATTTTTTAAATAGCAATAAAATAAAAAAAATAAAAAAAGGGCTACCGGAGGTGAAGAACTGAGCGGAACAGAAAGAGTGGAATACAACATGCAAACCGCAGCAACAGACACGTCCGCCGTAATGACTCGTGGGGGAACTAAAATTAACCTTGTCTTTCCCAAGTGAGATCCAATCAGAACCGTTGGATTCATGCTTTAGATTCGCTCATAACCACGTGTCCTCCATTTATTTGCGCTCTAATCTACGTTGTCAGCGCACGTCCCACGTGAGCTACACCTCCTCAGTGGAGATGATGGGTCTTTTTTCCTAATTTTCTTTTTAAAATTTGACTTATTTTTTAATTACCGAGAAATTTTAAGGAGACTATCTCAAAAGTAGAACTCTACATTAATTATCTGTCCCTCACAGTTTAATATTAATTTTCATGATAAGTCCAACATTATAAAACATTGTATAAAAAGCACAAGATAACAGAGTGTTCATGAAGAGTTTAACTTTTGAAAGAGTCCCTTTACTTGTTAACTTACCGCAAACAAACTTCAATGAGCCAGAATTTCGCGTCGATTTCATTACAAATATATAATATATATCGTTTTTGAATCTATATAAAGAGATCTCGTCCAATAAAGCGGAGACCGAATGCTGCTACAAAACAATTGATCATGTGCAATTTTTGAATTTGGATTGGTTTTGTTTAACTTGCAATGGGCCAATAGTCAACGCATCAAATTTTATGGTCCACGGACCCTGGCTGGCTTAAAGCGCCCAGAAAACAATCATTAATATTTTGGGCCAATAAGTCATGACCCAACATTTTATGGGCCGTAGAAAGGAGCAAGAAAACGATCATCTTTTCATTTGTTTGGGCCAATTGATTACCACAATAATCTAGCTCATGTTCTCTAGTCCATAAGTAAGCTTTGGTTATGAGATTTGATTTGATTTGATTTTTTTTTTTTTGAGTCGAGCGATAGTGTTTGTAAGTTAATTGTTAGATTAGCTATCGACGGGATTCGAACCCACATCGTCATGCAAGGGTACAACATCTTTCCACCACTGTGATAAATGACCACTTTGGTTATGAGATTAAGATATGTAATTAGGACTTGATTACGTAAGGGGTAATGGTTGTGTCACTAGGCCTGTATTGTGTAATTTGGCTGAGATTATGTAATTTGGTGTTTCTTTACTTAAATAAAAACAATTAATGTTCTTGCACATTCAGCATTCTACGTGTCATCGTAAGACAAATAATTAGCAGAACTACATGATAAATACAGTAAGATTAGTTTTAAAGTTTGTAGCTTAAGCCTTAAGTAGTTAAGAGTAAGTTATCATGCACTCTAAACATATCTTTTTTTTGGTAAAAACTCTAAACATATCTTTGATTCCTCTCAACCGCAACTTTGCATGGACGTGGGTAACATATATTGGCTAGTAATTTGGATTCTGTCTCTAGCTACTAATATTCTTTAACTAAAATTTTATTAATTTTCGATTTCTTTTTATCAAAGTCCTTTGATTTGTATTGTGACATCCTACATCGTCCAGGGGAGTGATCCTTAAATGTATATTCCTATCCCTACCTAGCACGAGGCCTTTTGGGAGCTCACTGGCTTCGGATTCCATGGGAACTCCGAAGTTAAGCGAGTAGCGCACGAGAGCACTCCCAGGATGGGTGACCCATCGGGAAGTTCTCGTGTGAGTTCCCAGAAACAAAACCGTGAGGGCGTGGTCGGGGCCCAAAGCGGACAATAGCGTGCTACGGTGGTGGAGCGGGCACGGGAAGTGATCCGCTCCGGGCCGGGATGTGACATTTGGTATCAGAGCCTAACCCTGGTCGCGAGTGTGCCGACAAGGATGTCGGACCCCTAAGGGGGGTGGATTGTGACATCCCACATCGCCCATGGGAGTGATCCTTAAATGTATATTCCCATCTCTACCTAGCACGAGGCATTTTGGGAGCTCACTGGCTTCAGATTCCATGGGAACTCCGAAGTTAAGCGAGTAGCGCACGAGAGCACTCCCAGGATGGGTGACCCATCGGGAAGTTCTCGTGTGAGTTCCCAGAAACAAAACCGTGAGGGCGTGGTCGGGGCCCAAAACGGACAATATCGTGCTATGGTGGTGGAGTCGGCCCGGGAAGTGATCCGCCCCGGGCCGGGATGTGACATGTATACCTCACAATATTAGTACTAGTATTAATATATTTCCATGTCAGCAATTAAGCTTGAAACGTTATAATATTTAAAACCCCACGTTTAATGGCTATAATAAAAAAAGGGTCAGCCAAAAAATTGAAATTTATTTTGCAAAATTTTGATTGATTAAATGAATAAAAAAGCAATGCAGGTATAACAAAATAACATTTTACGTACATATTAATAAAATGCAAACAATGTACCCAAACTAATTTATTGGCATATGAGTACATTTTATAACAGAAAAAAAAATATCGGTAAGTAATATGGGTAGATAATATAAACATAAAAAACTAGACCCACTTATAAAAATGCATGGTACATAATATGAATAGAACAACATTGTGCCCACTTATAGGTACATAATATAAAATATATTTATCCCACTTATTTTAATTTCTTTTTCAATGGATACAAAAAATAAACAAATGATTAAGAATTTAATTGTATTAAAAAGTAATTAATTTAGAATGATAACACCCAATTTTTTTAGTACAATTATATATTTTACAGTAGGGGGGAGTTCGGTGAAGTCACACAATGGACAACCTAATCTGATATTGAATTCGCCATCTACGAGATTCAAACCGAAGACCTCTCACTTACAAGTGAAGAAGAATACCACCAGACCGTAATACTAAGGGGTTAAAATGATAACACAATTAATTTCTTATTGTAAGAAAATAATATTAAATACTGATGTGGAAATAAGTCAAGGGACTTCAATAAAAAATTTAAAGACACAAGATTTCAATTAAGAAAATGTCATCACATGGATTGTAAGTTGTAACCTAATTTTTGCATATGTGTATTAGAGTTAGGGTTCGATGATACACATTTTTGACACATATTTTGACACCCGTTTTTGTGTGGTCTACTTTGTAATGTATTTCAACAGTCTAACCGTTTATTTTTTATGTCCTGTCAAATATCATCTCTACCAGAAATCAGCCAAATCCGAAGTCATATGACCATTAGTTTAAATTTAGTGTTTGTTTGTAGAACTTTATTCGTCTATTTTCTTCACTACAAATAAATGTCTTAATGGTTTTGGATTTGTCTAATTTTTTTTGTAAAGAATCTAATGTACTAAAATATAGATGTTCGGATCGTTAAAATACATTATTGAATGGACCCTACAAAATGAACGTCAAAGTGTGTGTTAAATACGTGTGCCCCAAGATCCTAACCCATATATATATTAGACAATTGGAGCAAACCAGCTTCGACACCCAATTATCTATTCTAAAATTGAGGAGCAATTGACTGTTCATTCCGCTACAGTCAATTGTTTGCCCCTCGATTTCACGCTATTTACAACAAAAACCATCAGATCTGGGTTGGGTTGGGAAGGTAATTCTTAAAAGTTAGGGGGTAATTGTGTCCGTGTGTTTGAGCCAAATTTCACTTTATTTACAAAATTGCCACCGCCTTTTCTCTCCCTCTTTCTCTCTCCCGACTCTGTCGATAACCATCCATCAAATCGCCCATCCTTTCCTTTTCTCACTCTGAGCTCATTTCCTACAACCCTAGCACTGTTTCTCTCTTATTTCTCTCAAATTCGAGAGACTTCTCTCTCCCATTTCTCTCAACCTAGCCCCAGCGCTGCTTACCCCGTTCCTCTTCATCATCTCAGTTAAATCCGTTCAACAATCACCGATGCACCTCCATCGGCAGGAAGTGTTACGAGGAGTGGACGTAGGAGCAGGAAGTGTTACGAGGAGGGGAGGTAGTAGCCTCATCTGCTGTGTTGCAGTAGTGAAGTGATTAGACGTCGGTATGACATCTGCTAGCCTAGGGAATGGTGGAGTTGGCAGTTCAAGGTATGTTAGACAATAGATATGGCATAAGTGATAAGCCATTTTCCCTCTCTGCAAGTGTTAACCTCACCCTGTATGGGATTATGAAAAGGAGGGGCTTTCTTTTGCTTTGCGTTGCAAGGGATAGAACGAGACTTAATTTACTATATTAGCCTTATGAGTTTACGGACCTTCTAATATTTCATAGTGGGCCTGGAAGTGATTTTCCGGGAACGGGAAAGGTAATCGAGATTAGTCTCTGATTGTTTGATCATCCTATATATATTTGATGAAGCTTCAACTAGCTTCTACCAGACAACCCCTCATTTCTTTATGGTAATTAAGCTTCATCTCTAATTGTTTATTGTCTGATTAGATTATTATAATATTTGGGTTGTTGGATATGTTGGATTTGAATTGATTTTTTGTTTTCATATTTCATAATGATGGATTTTCGAATGAAATGCACTCAACCCTAAATTCCAGTGGGGGTGGCTGAAGCAGTTGCCGGATATGACTTATGGCAGCCAAGGTTCCTTTATTGTCATGCTTTTAGTTTTATAAAATATGACAAGTTGATATAAATATATATGTATAAAGAGAACTTACATCTCTTGATAGATTGTGTTCTAGATAGTTTTTCACTTTCCTACTCAAAATAAGTTTATCATGTTATGCTGTCCAACTATTGATTTGGAACAACGTTATGTAAATACTTTATTCTGTCCAACTATTGATTTGGAACAACGTTCTGTAAATACTTTTCACACCATACTTATAACACATTAGTCCTGTATTTGAAGACTTATATACAATACTTATAATTCGGATGAAGAGATCTCGATCTTTGTTTTTGGGAGTTTTTTTATGCTTTGCTTTTTGAGCGAATCTTTGTTTATCATAACACGGTCATATGGTGTTACTATCCGTTCTTTTAGTTGTTAAAATCTGCTTTTTTGAGTTGTACATGGAACTCTTAACGTAGAATTAGTAAAATGCAGGTGCAGAATGATCAACTAATCAATGTGAGAGAAGCTTTTAATTTTTTTTGGTTCAATTTTAAATGGGTTGTTATCAACCATTGAATTGCTTTTGGAGTTTTCATTTGATAAGAGAGATGGGGGATTCTTTTGGGTGAAACTTTTAATCCGTGAGATTTTTAGTTAGGTTGTGTTGTGGGTTTTTGCAAATTTCTACCGTGTTTATGCATGCATTTTTTGTTATAGATATGGAAGAAAATAGCATTACAGGGTGTTGAGGGTTTGTTGGTGGGGGAAGGCAGCAGCGTTAAGATTTTGCAGGTGAGATATTTGGGTGAGAGAAAAAGGGGACAAAGAAAATCGAAAACACATTTGGGAATAGGGGTAGCAAAACAGGGGAAAAGAATATGACAGAGGAATGGACTCTTAATTTTTTCTTAACTGGTTTGAGATTTTGCTTGCCTTTGGGGTCGTCGTTGGCGTCAAGCGGTGTCTGTTTTTTCATAACTTTTATTATTAATTTTTATGTCATTTGCGATTTTGTATCCTAGGATTTTTGAATTTTAACGTTCATTATCGGTTTTTAAATTTTTTTTTTCTTCGTTTGTTTGTTTTATATGTTGTGTTTGTGCTGGGACACTGTTTTGCAAGTTCTCTTTCCATTGGGACCGCTGCATTTTTAAAGTGTTGAGGGTGAGATTTATATACTCAAAACACTCCATTTTTTTTTTCCAAATATGCGCGTTTGGTTCTCTTCGGTTTTAAATGTTTAAAATTAAATGGTTATTTGGATAAAATGGTTTATTAGTTTATCTTATGTGTTGTGATCAGGAATTTAATTGGATTGGGTAAAATGCTTTATCAATTTACGTTATAGGGAATTATGTGTATTATGGTCTGTGAGTTTTATTGCTCATCGTTTGTTCTTTTTTCTTTGTTTGCCGGTTTCTTTTGCTGGGGATCACTACAGTTTGGGAGTCAAAATGACCACACTACCCCGTCAAGGGTTCAGATCTTGCCGTCAGGTGATATGAGAGAGGGGGTTTGATTGCCCAATTGGTTGTTTCATCAATTAATTGTGTGCAAACATTTATGTGTAATTTTTTACTTCTTCCACTTAAATGGTAAGATCAAATTAAGCTAAGAACTTTGGGTTTTGTAAATGTTGTGTAATTTAATTATTCATAGTATCAATTAATTTTGAGCAAACATTTCTGGGTAGTTGTTAATTTCCCTCAATATTTGATAATAATTAAATTAAAGCTGAGAACTTTGTATTTTGTTCATTACCTGCCGTAGATTTTACTTGACAGAGAAAATGTATTTTCCTTGATATTATTCATGTTTTGTTTTCTTTAAGATCGCATTGTAATGGGTCTCTTTGGAAAAACAATTCTTAAGACCAATTGTGAGGTTTGTTCTTATATCGTACATGAGTGTTTTTATAACTCTTTTGCACAATTGTTAGTATTTGTAGTTGTGATTGGTGTTGTCTTGCATGTTTGGCTTGAAGAAATAAGACATTACTTTTGATAAACCATATTGGGAGTGAAGGAATCTCTTTTTGACCTGGTCATCTTGGAGTACATTTCTACTAACTTGGTACACTATGGAAATTCATGAACTCTTTTACTTGCCCCTTTTTATATGTATTTGTTAATTACGACCCGTCGCATCGCGCGGGCATGAATCCTAGTAACTCCAAAAGGCCAACTCTTCCGAGCACTCAGTGGAGTTTTGTAGGTAGGACGATCGGTTGTAGACTCAAACATTAGCCGGTTGACTTTCAAAAACCCAACCCTCTGGTGTTCATTAATTCGGAATTACTCTCCTGTGAAGATGGCTCAACCACAATATATTTCACATATGAGAATATTTCTACTCATCATTCTCAAGTAATGGTGATGTCTATTACTCTATTTAGTGCCATTAGATGAGTTATGTAGTGGATATATACAAATTTCAAAATTTAAATTCATATAACGATGGTAAATAGAATGTTAAATATTACCACTATTTAAGAACGATGATAAAAATACACCCATAATATAATGGATCATGATATCCATAAACAGAATTAAAATCAAACAATGAATTCCAAATTTAGTCGTCGATCTCATGCATGGGTTAGGACTGTTAGGTTAGACCTTGAAGAATTCATCTTCCGTTCTCCCGCGCGCCTTATGAGACTTTGCTTTTGTCTCATCTCTGTTTTCGAATCTCATCGACTTTTGCTCTCATTTTCTTGTCTTTTCAGATTTTCCCGTCTGCTAACATCACATTCCATGAAAGTACCGCACGCTGCAGGCGATGGTTGAATTTAAGATAACTCTGATTTGGACACAAGCTGTTAGCTTGAGAATATTCAGATTATGGAATTAAATTGTGCAGTGCTCAAATGAAAGAGTGGTTAAGGTCGTACAATGAATGACATTTAATTGAAGGCCTTGAACATCAACCGTTTAGATCCCGAGATTTTGTGGTAGAGTCTCAAATGAGTGGTTGATGCCGTATAAACTGACTAATTAATTGTGTGACTAAAAATTAAAGTATTGGAGTTATTTATGAATAATTAATTATTTATAATCCTGCTATGTACTTTCTAAACATTATATAAGGGATCATGATTGATAGGGCATGTTTGTGTGACCTTAAACACCCTGGAGAGAGGATTAACATGGAAAAGCTACTATAAACCACATATACAAACAGGAACCACTCTCAAAACTTAAATCGTACGCCTAACTAAATGGAGGAGCCGCTGCTCGACACAGCCGCCGGCGGCACCACCGAGTATAGCAATAATCAGCTTATGTACGAAGGTGAGAGCGAAGACTATGCGCCTGTGAGGAGCTTTGGTGCGTTGCGGCATATGTTTTGGATAGAGACGGTGAAGCTGTGGCAAATAGGCGGTTCGGCAGTTATCACTATCATGTGTATGTATGGGACTAACTCAGTCATCGTGCTCTTTGCCGGTCATCTCGGAACTATTGAGCTTTCCGCCATCTCCATTTCTCTTTCTGTCATTTCCACCTTCACTTATGGATTCATGGTACTTAATTAATATTCTTCTCTTAATTCCTCATGTCGTAAACAAGTAGACCGTTCATCATAACTATTGTTTTGATTAGAGTGAAGTTTTATTGAAACATATGATACTCGTCAAAATAGTAGTATACCACATATACCATATATAAGTGGACAAGCATATATGTTATTTTGTGCTATTGTTATTGAATACGAAATCTTATTTGTTGGTGTGAAATGACTTGCTAGCTTGGGATGGGGAGTGCTCTGGAAACCCTGTGTGGACAAGCATTTGGTGCTGGACAAGTTCACATGCTTGGTATCTACATGCAACGATCATGTATAATTCTATTCGTAACCTCCTTCTTACTGTTGCCGATTTACATCTTTGCCACACCGATTCTAAAGTGTCTAGGCCAAGAAGACGACATAGCAAATGAAGCCGGAAAATACACACTCCAAATAATCCCCCAGTTGTTCTCACTTGCCATAAATTTCCCAGCTCAAAAGTTCCTCCAGGCTCAGAGGAAGGTGAAGGTACTGGCATGGGTTGCAGTGCTGGCCCTGGTCATACACATTGGAATGCTAGCGCTCTTCATATATGTGTTTGATTGGGGCATATCGGGGGCAGCTGTGTCATTTAACATCACAAGATGGGGGATTTCAATTGCTCAAGTTGTCTATATTATGGGTTGGTGTAAGGAGGGTTGGACTGGATTTTCATGGCTGGCATTCAATGAGATTTGGGCATTTGTGAGACTTTCTCTTGCCTCTGCAGTCATGCTCTGCCTGGAAATTTGGTACATGATGAGTATACTCCTTCTCACAGGTGGTCTTTCTGATGCAGTTATCGCCGTTGGTTCCCTTTCCATTTGGTAATTAACATCTTAATTCTTCCCTTTTCAATTAGTGAACTTTACCCTTTTTGTTACCTAAGGCTGGTATGCCATTCGGACAATCTTCTAAGCCAATAATGCAATGTCATTTAAAAAATCTAAAAATATGTCTTTAGCCCTTGAAACTTAATTTTCTCCACAAAAAACCCGACATAAGATTTTTATTTAAACAAAACCCATTGACTAGATTCCACATAAGCGAATTCATTAATTATGTTTGACTTTATACATTTAAAAGTTTTTGGATGCCTAAACTACCCCTATTTTAATGTTTGATGCGGATTGTAAGGGAGAATTAATGATTTTGCAAAAATAAAAAAAATAATGTTATAAATTCATTGCCTAATATATAATAACAATAAAACATGTGTAATATATGCAATAATACATGCTTAATAAGGTCAATAAAAATATTATACTAAGTAATTTACCTATATGTAAATTTATGATTAGCAAATAACTTATATTTTGTAGGTAAACTCCTTCATTTGTAGGCAATTTATTTCCATGTACTATTACATATATATATATATATTTGGCAAAATTTATTATTTTAAGATATATGTATAAATACTAGTTAAATTAATTTTAATCAAATAACATTACTTTGTTTTGTAAGTAAATGAATTTTGAATCAAATAACATTCCTTTATTATGTAGGTATTTTATTTTGCATGTATCAATATCATATATATTGGGCATATTTTATTATTATATGTACAAATAATAGGTAAATTAGTATTGTATAAAATAACATTGTTTTATTATGTAGGTAAATTATTTTGCATGTATTTTGCAGATATTGGGTCTGCTTTATCATGTACTAAATTATTTCACATGTATTTTACATATATTGGGTAAATTATGTTGCTTTTTTTAAGCAATCTAACATTTTAAAATTTTAATAGTAGGTGCACTAAATGAATCAAATAACATTAATTTTTTGTAGGTAAATTATTTTGCATGATTTTTTTACATATATCTGTGACATCCCACATCGCCCAAGGAAGTGATCCTTATATGTATATTCTTATCCCTACTTAGCACGAGGCCTTTTAGGAGCTCACTGGCTTCGGGTTCCTACGTAACTCCGAAGTTAAGCGAGAAGGGGGCTAGAGCAATCCCATGATGGGTGACCCACTGGGAAGTTGCTCGTGACTTCCCAAAAACAAAACCGTGAGGGAATGGTAAGTCCAAAGCGGACACTATCGTGCTACGGTAGTGGAGCGGGCCCGGGGAGTGGTCCCCCCCGGGTCGGGATGTGACATATCAGGCATTTTTTTATGACATGTGTGTGTCAAATTATATAAATAAAGAAATATATATATATATATATTTATATGTTGAACTTATAGTAGTACTATATACTTTTGAACGTGTGTGTGTGTGTATATATATATAATATAATAGTATGTGCAATAAGTATTTGTTCATTATAATTAAGGTGAGTAATAACATTTATTGATTTGATTTGAATATTGTAGCACAAGTTGTAAATATTTTGTAATAATAGGTCAATTATTTTCCTACTTGGCAATCTTTTTAAAATTTGGGTTTTATTTGGATGTTTAATATTAGGTGGGTTTTTGTCAAGGAAGTAAGAGTTGTAAGAGTCTGTATCTAAAAAACCCTTTAAAAAAATGTAGACACATGACAATGTATTATTGGCTTGGAATATTGCTACAACGATGTATCCGATGTATTTCCCTTTTCATGGTACATGAGCTTTTGATTACTAATAGCATTTTTTTGTTTCCTTAGCATGAACATCAACGGGTGGGAAGGAATGTTGTTTGTTGGACTAAACGCCGCAATAAGGTGAAACATTGGACAAGTAGTTCGCTGGTATTTACCTTGCAATAATCCTTGACTATTTTGGATTATTTATGACACTGTTCTTTTTATATAGCGTTCGCGTCTCCAATGAGCTTGGGTTAAGACGTCCTAGAGCAGCTAAATACGCCGTTTATGTGACAGTAGCTCAGTCTCTCTTAATTGGGCTTCTTTTCATGGTTATTATTTTAATAACCAAAGACTATTTTGCCGTAATTTTCACAAGTGACAAAGAGTTGCAACAAGCAGTCGCTAAACTTGCATACCTTCTTGGTATAACTATGGTGCTCAACAGTGTTCAACCAGTAATATCAGGTATCTATTTGACAAGTCACTATATATGTGTTATGCATGTTATCGTATTTTATATAACAAAGAACAAACGTTATATTCTCAAAATCGATATTGTGTGTGAATGTGCAAGCATGATATGATGCCACGTTTTCTTGTTCTTGTAGGTGTTGCAATTGGTGGTGGATGGCAGGCAATGGTAGCTTATATAAACTTGGGTTGTTACTACATCTTTGGACTTCCTCTTGGATACGTTCTTTGCCATGTTGCAAATTTAGGAGTCGCGGTAATTATATTATTTCTTTTCTTTCAATGATGCCAAGTTAATTTGGCAACCCCCACACCAAGTACTTGATGAGTTGTTTGATTAATATTGTAGGGACTTTGGGGGGGCATGATATGTGGAACTGCTCTCCAAACCATCCTTCTGCTAATTATACTTTACAAAACAAACTGGAACAAAGAGGTAACAGTTTCAAGTCTCTTCAACTTTGGTTACTTCGTTCATTTCATTGCTTATTCATATGAGATTTGAAAAAACTTAATAAAATGTAAAAAGAAACATATTTTAATTATAATTTTGTTTCCTCTGTTCTAAATTTCCTTAATGATTCATATTGAAATCAAATTGCAGGTGGAGCAAGCAACAAATCGTGTCCGGAAGTGGGGAGGGCAAGACATCAAAACTGCCAACGGAGCTAAAAGTACTTGAAATTCCCTTTTCTTTTTATGGGGAGAAAACAAGTGAACGAGGAAGGCAGCTCAGTCGGTGGCAAGATTGAGAGGTGATTGCGCCGGCGGCGGGTGTGGGGTGAAAGGAGGAGGGTGTTTGTCGGGGTTGCATGGGCGGGGAAGCTTGAATGGCTGTTGTGTGTGCGTATGTGTTTTGTTTATTCAGAACTACGTTGAGATTTCAGCATGCCCTTAATTTGTAAACTCAGACATTAGCCGGTCGAATTTCCAAATCCCAACCCATGGGTGTACATTAATTATTCAAAACTACTCACGTGCGAAGATGGCTAATGCACATTATATTTCACGTAAAAAAAATATTTTTGTTCACCATCCTCAAGTGATAGTGATGCACATCACACTACGTATCACCGTTAGAAGAGTTTAAATTTTTAACTTTGTGTAGTTGATAGACGTACAAATCTCAAAATTTAAATCATTTAACAATAATAAATATGGAAAATTAGAATCCTCTACAGTTTTTCTATATAATTTAGATTAAAAATCTGTGCCTTTTTAAAATTTGATTAAAGTGCTTTGACCAATAGTCACCTCTATTTTTTAAAAGTAAAATAAATTTTCAATTTATCATTTTATCTGTAGGGTACACTTTTCCTTATTTAGTGGAGATATTAGTAATTAAACTATATTTTCTCTTCTTTTAAATATGTTTTTTCGATCACAATATATATATATATATATATATATATATAGTTTTTTTTTTTTATGCAAGCATTTAATATTATTTCTTTTTCCAAATGGTTTTTTCTTTTTCAAATAGTTGGTGATCAACATAAAAGCTCCATGTAATTTTTTCAATTTTTTTTTTTGTGAAATTATATTTTTTTAAATATAGTTGTTGACGAATTATTATTAGGCACAATATATTACATATATATTATCTACGGGTATGTTTGAATTTACAAAAGTAATTAATTGGTACATTTGATTTGATACATATTGTTAATATTGGTACATTATTTTTATTTTGGTTCGTTTTATTTTGTACACATTGTGTATTGGTATGTTTATATTATTCTCAATCCTATTTCTCTTAACGTACTAAAAGAAAACCTCATTTCGGTACATTTGATTTTGGGGGTTTAAAAATATTTTAAACTATTTTGGAAATAAAATATCTTCAATCATAGATAATTATTGCTAAATTATAGTATTATTGTGAAAATAAATGAATCTAACCAACTTTTTTATTTTTTTATTTTTGTATTTTTTATTTTTTATACAATTATCTTTAACAGAGGAGAGTAATCGAAATGCTAGATTATAGGAAATTTGTTACAATATAATGTGCATATAGCACCAAAATTATGATAAAAAAAAAAGTTTAATCAAATCACTAAAAGGCATGGATGTTTGATCTAGAAAATTCAAAACTGAGACGCCTATATCAAAAGATCCCTAAATAAATAAGGTAGTAAACATTATCATCACTTGAGAATGATGATAAAAAATGTTGCCATAATATAATGGATCATGAGATCATAAAACATAATTAAAATCAAGGGAGACTTTGAATGTGGTCCCTAACTATTAATATTCTTTGACTAAAACCTTGTTGGTTTTCAATTTTTGATCGAAGTCCTTGAAATTAATGTGATAATTTATTTCTTTGTATGTTACTATATTTTTTAAATAAAAATTTGAAATTTATAGTTGTTTATATTAATGAGATTTTAAATAAAAACCCATAATTTGTGGGATTAAAAATATTAAAATATAAAAAATTATTGTACCAAAACATGGGTACAGTCTTCAAAACAACAAAAAAAGAAGAAGATATTAACCTTAATAACATAAGTAAATTTCTTCGATTAAACTTGACATGGATACTTTCTCAAATCAAAGAAAAAGAATGTACTCATACAAGTTTAAAAATGGATTAGGAAAAAATTAAATAGATTTTATATTAAAAAAAAAAGTGTACATTTTACATATAACAAATTGATATATTTAAGAATGGGTAAATTTTTAAGATAAAAAAATTTGAAAAATTACATGAATGGGTACATATAAGAAATTGAAAACATTTCTATAAAAAACTAATGGTACAAACTTATTCTAATTTTTTCTTTATTATGGAAATGTTTTGAATTGAAAATTAGTTAGGAGTTTAATAAAGGTGTGAGTATTAAAATCCTAAATCAATTATTAATTTTTATTTTAAAAAATTATGTAACTAACATGGAAATTCATTATTACATTAATACTAGGGACTTGGATCAAAATCTGAAAACTAATAAGGTTTCAATCAATAAACATTAGTAACTAGGGACCGGATACTAATTTTTCCTAAAATCAAACAATAAATGGTTTTTTAATTACAAATGGTCCCTGAAATTGACCCTCACCATCAATATGATCATTGGAATTGAAAATCAATCAATGTAGTTCTTGAAAATAGGTGTCACAAATCAATGTGGTCCTTTCGTCACAATTTTGTTAAGTGCTAATGTAGCACATAAATTGGCCCCGTAAGTCTTTTTTTTTCTCACAAATGGTCCCCGAAATTGACCCACGACATCAAAATGGTCCCTGAAATTGAAAATTGATCAATATAGTCCTGCAAGTAAGTGTCTCAAATCAATATAGTCCTTCCATCATAATTCTGTTATGTGCTGATATGACACATAAATGGACCACACAAGTCTAATTAAATTTAACAAATTACAAATAGGCTGAATAATTTAATAGTTAATAAAAAAAATTGTCAATAAAAAAATCCAGCCCTACAATCATCTCTGATCCTAGTCCACATTTCTCTATCTCATTCTCTCTATTCTCTGGAAAAGAAAAAAAAAAAAATCTCAATACACCCATCTTTACACACTTCGACACCCTTCACTAAATTGAACTAGGGTAGAGATCACCTTTGGTGATGGTTTGGCCAATTGGCAACGACTTCTGGGACATCATCGTTAATATTTAGGCGATCAACATCGTCGCAACCTTAATCTTGGAGAGCTTGTTCAACAGTTCCTTGGTGGTCTGGTGATGCAAAGAATGACAAGGTCTACCTTGAGATAATGTGGTTATAACAAAGGTGTGTCTATTGTTGATTGAAAACTATTTCCACACCCCCTCTTAGGCTTTGGTTAAGCCTTATGTCTTTGAGAATTTATGGAAGGGATCTCTCTTTGGAGTAGGCCCTACAATAAGGAAAAAAAAATTATTGTGCAAAAAGGTATTTAGACAACTTTTTAAATTAATTATTAAACCCACATCAACACATAACAAATTATTTTACAAAATTATGGCAGAACGATCATATTGATTTGCGACACCTATTTCAAGGATCACATTGATCGATTTTCAATTTCAAGGACCATTTGGATGGCTTGGGTCAATTTCAAGGATCATTTGTAATAAAAACCCGTAAATCTTGTGGGGCCCATTTATGTGCCACATCAGCACTTAACGGAATTTTTAACATAACTATTTTCAAAAATTACATTGATTGATTTTTAATTTTAAAGACTATTTTGATGGTAATGGTCAATTTCAAAGATCATTGATGATAAAAATCTAACAATAAATTCCAACCTAGTCGTCGTTCTCATGCATGGGTTAGGACTGTTAGGTTAGACCTGGAAGGATTCATCCCCCCACCCCCCCTCCCCACCCCAAACCACCCAACCCCCACCCCCACCCCCACCCCCACCCCCACGTGCCCCCCGCCACATGATCCTTCCTTTTGACTTATCTCTTTGTTCCACACTACCATCCACCCTTATTTTCATTTTCTTGTTTCATCCTCAAGTGTTTCCTGTCCGTTAATATCAGGCTGTGGTTTAGTTTAACAAAAGATAATTCTAATTTGGCCACAAGCCGTTAGTTAGAGAACATATCTGATTTGACCGCAAGCTTTTTAGTTTGAGAAAATATCTGGTATGGTAAGGCGATTGTTGGACACTGCTTAGAAGTAGAATAAAAATGATTTAGATTATGAGCTTAAATTCAGAGTGTAAATGAATGAGTGGTAAATGTCGTATTATGAAAGATATTTAATTAAGACCTAGAACATTAACCATTCAGATTTTGAGATTTTGTGGTGGAGTGTCAAATGAGTATTTGAGTGAAAAATTGAAGTGCTTAAGTCAATCATTAAGTAATTATTTAAAACTTTGCAACGTACTTTCTAAACAGTATATAAGTGACTCTATATAAGTGAATCATGATCGATAGTGCATCTTTGTGTGACTGTAAAACACCCTGTAGAGAGGAACAATAAAGAAAAGTTACTATAAACCACATACAAATAGTTACCAAACTCTCAAACTTGAATATCTTACGCCTAACTAAATGGAGGAGCCGCTGCTCGACCCAGCCACCCGCGGCACCACCGAGTTGTGCAATAAACAGCTTATGTACGAAGGTGAGAACGAAGACTATGCGCCGGTGAGGAGCTTTGGTTCGTTGCGGCGTATGTTTTGGATAGAGACGGTGAAGCTGTGGCAAATAGGCGGTTCTGCAGTTATCACTATCATGTGTATGTATGGGACTAACTCAGTCATCGTGCTCTTTGCCGGTCATCTCGGAACTATTGAGCTCTCCGCTATCTCCATTTCCCTCTCTGTCATATCCACATTCACTTACGGATTCATGGTACTTAATTAATCTTCTTCCCTTTAATTCTTCCTGGCTTAAAATAAGCACAGTATGCTAGTAGATCGTTCATCATAACTATTGTTCTAAAGGTAAATTTTGTTGAAACATATGATACATGTCAAAATAATAGTATACCACATATGTATGATACATGTGGTAAACATATATGTTATGTTGTCAGATTATTAGTGTATACGAAATCTTATTTGTTTGTTGTGAAATGATTTACTAGCTTGGGATGGGGAGTGCACTGGAGACCCTGTGTGGACAAGCATTTGGTGCTGGACAAATTCACATGCTTGGGATCTACATGCAACGATCATGTATAATTCTATTCGTAACCGCCTTCTTACTCTTGCCGATTTACATCTTCGCCACACCGATTCTAAAGTGGCTAGGCCAAGAAGATGACATAGCGAATAAAGCCGGAAAATTCACACTTCAAATAATCCCCCAATTGTTCTCACTTGCCATAAATTTCCCAGCCCAAAAGTTCCTCCAGGCTCAGAGGAAGGTGAAGGTGCTGGCATGGATTGCAGTGTTGGCCCTGGTCATACACATTGGAATGCTAGCGCTCTTCATGTATGTGTTTGATTGGGGCACATTGGGGGCAGCTGTGTCATTTAACCTCACAAGATGGGGGATTTCAATTGCACAAGCTGTGTATATTATGGGTTGGTGCAAGGAGGGTTGGACTGGATTTTCATGGCTGGCATTCAATGAGATTTGGGCATTTGTGAGACTTTCTCTTGCCTCAGCAGTCATGCTCTGCCTAGAAATTTGGTACATGATGAGTATGCTCATTCTCACGGGCGGTCTTTCTGATGCAGTTATAGCCGTTGGTTCTCTTTCAATTTGGTAATTAACACTTCACTTTTTTCCTTTTTTAAATAATTAACTTTACCCTTTTTGTTTTGTTCAACAAAAATTTAAAAAAAAAATAAAAATCTTTACCCTTTTTGTGACTTATTGCTGGTATGTCATTTTGACAATATTTTAAGTCAATAAGGTAATATCATTTAAAATCATTTAGATACGTAACAATGCGTTATTGATTTATGATATCACTACAGTAATCTATCTGGTGTTTTCCCCTTTACATGTTACATGAGCTTTTGATTTCTAATAGCATTTTTTTTCTTTCCACTTTTGGGTTTTCTTAGCATGAACGTCAACGGGTGGGAAACAATGTTGTTCGTTGGAATAAATGCTGCAATAAGGTAAAACATTGGACTAGTAGTACTCTGGTATTTACCCTGCAATTCTCTCTAATTATTTTGGATTATTTATAACAACTTTCTTTACTTATATAGTGTTTGTGTCTCCAATGAGCTTGGATTAAGACGTCCTAGAGCAGTCAAATACGCCGTTTATGTGACAGTATCTCAATCTCTCTTGCTTGGTCTTCTTTTCATGATTATTATTTTAATAACCAAAGACGATTTTGCCGTAATTTTCACAAGTGACAAGGAGTTGCAACAAGCGGTCGCTAAGCTTGCATACCTTCTTGGTATAACTATGGTGCTCAACAGTGTCCAACCAGTAATATCAGGTATCTATTTGACAAGCTACTATGTATTATTCATCTTATATGTAATATATATAACAAAGAACAAACGTTATGTGTGCAAAATTTGTAGTGTGTGATTGCGCAAGCATGATATGATGCCATGTTTTGATCTTGCTCTTGAAGGTGTTGCAATTGGAGGTGGATGGCAGACAATGGTTGCTTATATAAACTTGGGTTGTTACTACATTTTTGGACTTCCTCTTGGATACGTTCTTTGCCATGTTGCAAATTTAGGAGTCACGGTAAATTTAATATTATTTATTTTCTTTCAATGTTGCCAAGTTAATTTTGCAACTCCGACACCAAGTACTTGATGAGATATGTGATTGATGTTGTAGGGACTTTGGGCGGGCATGATATGTGGAACTGCTCTCCAAACCATACTTCTGCTAATTATACTTTACAAAACAAACTGGAACAAAGAGGTAATTAATCAATACTTATATTTCAAATCTCTTCAACTTTGGCAACTTCATATCATGGGCTGTATTTCAAATTGCAGGTGGAGCAAGCAACAATTCGTGTTCGGAAGTGGGGAGGGCAAGACATTAAAACTGCCAACGGAGCTGAAAGTACTTGAAGTTCCCTTTTCTTTTTATGGGGTATATTAAATTATTTGCTCCATTTAATGATGACACTGTTTTGGTGAGGACTGAGGAGAAAACAAGTGGAGGAAGGCTGAGCCGGTGGTAAGAATGGGAGGTGATTTCTGTCAGCGGCGGGGTGTTGGTTGCGGGAGGTGGGTGTTTGTCGGGGTTGCATGGGCGGGGGAGCTTGGATGGCTGTTGTGTGTGTCTGTGTGTGTTTGTTTTGTTTATGTTATCCTACCTACTTTGAGATCTTAGCATGCCCTTAATTTGTAAAAATGTGACATAGAAGTCACATTAATAAATCTAACGTTTAAGTTAATAACAACACTTCATTGCCAGTGACAATCAAGCACCGACAAACTTTTTTATAACTAATAATTAGCACGAACCATAAATGATAAAAACGGTATTGTCACCTCAATACAGTTATCATGCACTTCCCTTTTGCAATTCTTAACGACTTTTTTGAAATGTTAATGATAGTTCACAAATTATTCACTAAATTTTAAGGCTCATCACCTATAAACCCTACAGCTTTTCATTTATAATACATCGTCCTTTAACCGCTTAATTACTTTTTATCCTAATTAGGACCGTTAAGTTAGACTTGTTCAATTGATCAACCACCAGCACCAGGATCTTAAAAGATTCCTCTACCGTTATTTAGGCCAACCACCTCAAGATATTTCCTTTCCTAACTCACCACTTCGTTACTATAGCCTCTATTTTTTTTTAGTTAAATTGAAAGGTTTTCAAAATCTAAACCTCGCCTACTCCTTCCCTCTGAATCTAAATAGTCAACTTCAATTGCTTTCATTTTATTCTCAGATTTTTCTTTTCCTCTAATATTATATTACATAAGCCACTTAGTACTATGTGTAATACAGTTAATAGCGGAAATAAGCAAATCAAAAATACAATTAACCACTAACCTTGTTAAACCATTGCAGCACAAAAACTAAAGTTCTTCTACACTCAACACTACCGTATACAATTAACAAACAATGGGGCTTGTTCTCTCTGTTTTGCGTAATTAGTGAGAATGCAGGGACCTCTATTATATATCCTTAGTGGTGGTATTGATTAGGTTACTTCCCATCATGTAATCCTAATCAAATTGTATAAACGAATATCCTTATGACCACAAAACAAAGTTATCATATCATAATAGTTAAACCTATTCATACTAGGATTACTTCTAGCTTTAGATTCGATCAAATACATTCCTGATAGCTTTACAAGTCTAGTCTATCCCAATCTATTATGACTTCAATCCTTTAAGCACGTGATAAACTAAGTGTGCAACTCTAATTAGTTTATACTATGGTCTAATAATATTCTTCTTCACTTGAAAGTGATAGGTATTAGGTTCGATTCTCGCCAAAGGTGAATTTAAAACACATTATTGCAAGCTCATTGTGAGGCCTAACCCAATCCCCCACTACTTAGAATGGATACTATCGTTTGTTCCAAAAAATAAATTATATTACGTAAAAGTATTGTACGTTGCATCGTGTTAATGCTAAAAATTGATAGGGTTAACTTAGAGGATGCATAGAAGATACAATGAGGTGAACGATAAGGAGTGCAGAGGATTATAATATAAGCTTGAAGATATATAGTGGCTCACCCATAATTGGGCTATGTTCACGATAATTTTAGAGGTATGTAATCACCAGAATTTGCTTGTTCGGATTCCACATATATGTTCGCATAGATATATGTACAAACTTTGGTTATAAGTTATAATGATCAGGTTTCTATCAAATGTTGCTAGGAATAATGACTCTTTATTGACATTATTATATTGTATCAAATGTTGCTGCTTGCAATCGGATTTGGTCATATTTGGGAATTTTGCTCTAGTTGTTTCTTCTTCTTTTTTGTTCAGTTTCTGCTTAATGAAGATATGTCTGTTTATGCTGATTATATGTATAGTCTATTTTGAGGGATTTTCATCATTGAGTGACTTTGATCTCTACTATTACAGTGGGTGAGAAATGAAAATGAAGCTGCTGCAGTGGTTAAAAATCAGAGATGAAAAATTGAGAATATGGTTGTATTTGTTTAGTTCAATTCTCTTTGTAAAAAATTGAGATATCATATAGTTGTAAATGATTGAATATTGATATTACTTTGGTAATTTGGAAGAAAAAAAAAATTCTTTGATTTAGTAAATGTTTCTGAAATGATATGTGATTGTACAACGATTCCATAACTCCCCATAGATGTTTCCAAAATACTGCCAAATGCTATGGATGGTACAAGAATGCAATAAAAGCTATGACAACATTTGAAAAATGCTATGAAAAGTTTACAAAAGCATTTTGGAATTGCTATAGTAAATTTTGTCGTAGCATTTTATTAAATGCTATAAAGGGGGATTATAACATTTTAAAACTGCTACAGATGTTTTTTTTTTATAGCATTTAATAAATACTTTAAAAAAACATTTCATAGCATTTTTCTATAACAATTGAAAAATGCTACAGAGAGTTTTAGAGAAAATGCTTTGCAACACTTTCTATACATAGAGTTTCATTATTTTCTTTCAATGATGCCAAGTTAATTTGGCGACTCCCACACCAAGTACTTGATGAGTTATTTGATTAATATTGTAGGGACTTTTTTTTTTTTGGAGAGAGAGAGAGGGGGGGGGGGGGGGAGGGGGCGGGGCGGGGCGGGCGGCATGATATGTGGAACTGCTCTCCAAACCGTCCTTCTGCTAATTATACTTTACAAAACAAACTGGAACAAAGAGGTTAACAGTTTCAAATCTCTTCAACTTTGGTTACTTCATTTCATTGCTTATTCATATGAGATTTGAAAAAACTTAATAAAATGTAAAAAGAAACATATTTTAATTATAATTTTGTGTCCTTTGTTCTAAATTTCCTTAATGATTCGTATTGAAATCAAATTGCAGGTGGAGCAAGCAACAAATCGTGTCCGGAAGTGGGTAGGGCAAGACATCAAAACTGCCAACGGAGCCAAAAGTACTTGAAATTCCCTTTTCTTTTTATGGGGAGAAAACAAGTGAACGAGGAAGGCTCAGTCGGTGGCAAGAATGAGAGGTGATTGCGCCGGCGGCGGGTGTGGGGTGAAAGGAGGTGGGTGTTTGTCGGGGTTGCATGGGCGGGGAAGCTTGGATGGCTGTTGTGTGTGCGTATGTGTTTTGTTTATTCAGAACTACGTTGAGATTTCAGCATGCCCTTAATTTGTAAACTCAGACATTAGCCGATCGAATTTCCAAATCCCAACCCTCTGATGTACAGTACATTAATTATTCAGACTCACGTGCGAAAATGGCTAAAGCACATTATATTTCACGTAAGAAAATATTTTGGGTTAATGACAAAAAACTACCTCAAGTTTGGGTCAAATGACACTTTCATACCTCATCTTTTAAAATTGACAATGTCATACCTCATCTTATGAATTTGTGTCAATGTTATACCTTCCGTTAGCTTGGCCGTTTATTTCTCAGTTAAATGCTGACGTGGCTTGATCTGGGACCCATTTTTATTAAAAAATTAATAAAAAAATTATTAAAAACAAAAAAAATCATTTACTATTATTTAAATATTAAAATAATAATAAAAAATTATTTTAAAAAACCATTTTTTTTTTTTTCTTCTTCTTCTCTCTTCTTCTTCTTCCCTCTTCTTCCCTCTTCTTCTTCTTCTTCTTCTTCTTCTGCACGGGGACAAACTGGGTTTTTTTTTTTTTTTTCTTCTTCTTCTTCTCTCTTCTTTCTTCTTCCCTCTTCTTCCCTCTTCTTCTTCTGCACGGAGACAAACTGGGTTTTTTTTTTTTTTTTTTTTTTCTTCTTCTTCCCTCTTCTTCCCTCCTCTTCTTCTTCTTCTTCTTCTGCACGGGGACAAACTGGATTTTTTATTTTTTTTTCTTCTTCTTCTCTTCTTCTTCTTCCCTCTTCTTCTTCTTCTTCTTCTGCACGGGGACAAACTGGGTTTTTTTTTTTTTTTTTTTTCTTCTTCTTCTTCTTCTTCTTCTTCCCTCTTCTTCTTCTTCTTCTTCTTCTTCACGGGGACAAACTGGATTTTTTTTTTTTTTTTTTTTTCCTTCTCTCTTCTTCTGCTTCCCTCTTCTTCTTCTTCTTCTTCTTCTTCTTCTTCTTCTGCGGGTTAGGTTGGGGGGGGGGGATTGGGTGGGAGGGGACGGTTTGCTGGTGTTTTTTTTTTTTTTTTTTTTTTTTTTTCCCTTCTCTCTTCTTCTTCTTCTTCTTCTTCTGCAAGGCACAAACTGGGTTTCCCATTGGTTTTTTTTTTTTTTTTTTTTTTGGTGTTTCCTTCTTCTTCCTCCTCATTTCTAGGTTGCAGGGGTTGAGTTTGTGGTGGGAGGAGGGGGGATGAACTGGGTTTGGTTTGGTTTGGGTTTTTTTTTTTTTTTTTTTTCTCTTCTTCTTCTTCTTCTTCTTCTTCTTTCTCCTTCTTCTTTTCTGGGTTGCAGGAAGATGATGGGGAAGAGAGAGGGGGGGAGATGCACGAAAGGAGAGGGGAGAGGGAAGATAGATGATGACTAATGTTTTTTATTTTTTTTATGTACTTTTTTTATTATTATTTTAATATTTAAATAATATTAAATGATTTTTTTTGTTTTTAATAAATTTTTTATTAATTTTTTAATAAAAATGGGTCCCGGATCAAGCCACGTCAGCATTTAACTGAGAAATAAACGGCCAAATTAACGGAAGGTATAACATTGACACAAATTCGTAAGATGAGGTATGACATTGTCAATTTTAAAAGATAAGGTATGAAAGTGTCATTTGACCCATACTTGAGGTAGTTTTTTGTAATTAACCCAAATATTTTTGTTCACCATCCTCAAGTAATAATGATACTCATCACCCTATGTATTACCGTTAGATGAGTTTCTATTTTAAATTTGTGTAGTTGATAAACACAAATCTCAAAATTTAAATAATTTAACGATAATAAATAAGGTAGTAAACATTATCATCACTTGAGAATGATGACAAAAATTGTTGCCATAATATAATGGATCATGAGATCATAAAACATAATTAAAATCAAGGGAGACTTTGGATGCGGTCCCTAACTATCAATATTCTTTGATTGAAACCTTGTTGGTTTTCAATTTTTTATCGAAGTCCCTGAAATTAATGTGATAATTTATTTCTTTGTATGTTACTATATTTTTTAAATTAAAAATTGAAATTTCTAGTTGTTTATATTGATGAGTTTTTAAATAAAAACCCATAATTTGTGGGATTAAAAATATTAATATATAAAAAATTATTGTATCAAAACATGGGTACATTCTTCAAAACCACAAAAAAAAAAAAAAAAAATGGAAGAGGA